ACAGTGACCCACTTGTAACCTACTGTACAGCAGAGTCAGAGCGACACCCACTTATCTGATTTTTTCAAATAATATTTAATGGATTATGTTACTGTAACAATTGTGTTTAAGCGTCATTATCCTCGAAAAAAATAAAATATATAAGGTATATATTATAAGGTAGTTGTAATTTCCTAATTTTTTTTTGGGCTTTTTAAAAGGCCATGGATACGATATTATCTTCTACATCTTTCGTCTTGTGTAGATCATATTTAGATCAATTTTACCCATGATTGACTGAAAAGTGTTTATCTTTTCGTGTTTAATGTTATTGGCCCACGATCCAACGTTGTCACAATACTATGTAATAATATATAAAATAATGATAATAATATGTCGTTTTTACTATTGCCTAGCTAATATTATCATTATGTTAACTTGGTAGAACATTAATGTCGATAGACTTGCTACGTGTTTAAGGCAAATAATTTTAATATGTTGTAAACTGCTGGTAAATTGCTGTTTTTATACAATATGCCAATAATTATGGGTACAATCTCTGGTACTCGTAAAATGTGTTAGGCTTATTGTGGATCAGTATAATAATATTGTTGTGTGCGTTTAAAAATAATTCAATTCCACATTACGTAATAATATAACAACTACTATTGTATGCGTTTCGGCCTTTTCGACGATTTTACTTATGAATACTGAATTACTTGTCAAGTGGTTAAGCGCATACCGCCATTCAAACTATGTATAGGTGTCACTGCTGCAGTGATAGAAATTTATTCTTTGATTTAATTCATTGTACACGACGAGTATCTATATTATACTCAAATGTATGTCACGTGTTATTGATAATTCCGATTTTATTCCACGTGAACAATCACCGAGAGCTATTAAAATATTTATTTAACGCGGTATTATAGGCATTCCGGGAAATTTTAATAATGAAACTCCACTCGTTTATTCGAAATGAAACGCATTCGACGAAGACTTATGAATAGCATATTAAAATAAATTGCGTAGACAAGCCATTTGAGATTTAACGAAAACCACTATAATATACGTACAAGCCATTTATACACAACAGCTCATATTTTGCACACTTAACAACAACCCTATTGCTGCACCCCTAACTCTCTCTTCCACTCATTGATTTTGTTAAATTTAATTTAAACAAATAATGTGGTTAAACCATAGCCCCGATATTCAGTAGTTTTGGTTTTATTACACTGTTTCAAAGTCAACAAAATCGTTTTGATAATAAATACATTTAGTTTAATTTTACCACAACTAACGACAATACCGAACAACAGCTGAACAATGTTTTTTTTCTTCTAAATCTCGTATTACCTATGCGGCTTGAAACTCTTGATTATCAGCTATTTTATTGATTAAGAAATACATTCAGATATTTAAGTACCTACTTACATAAGACATATTTTGGTATAAACCATTCTCGAAATATTACAAACCATATAGAAATCTTGTATTACCTTTGCGGCTTGAAACCTTGATTATCTATTTTATTGGTTAAGAAATACATTCAGATATTTACTTACTTACGTAAGACATATTTTGGTCCAAACAATTTTTGCAATATTACAGACCGTACAGGACTTTCGGCGTTATCACACGGCGCTTAAAAGTTTACTTCTCTCTTAACGCTTTGCGACCCTGCGATACACGTCTTCCTTATTTAAACTGTTTCATAATATTTTTATCTAATATCATTTTCTACTCGAATACTATATGCTTCATATTCACTATTTGCACATTGTTTTTCAACAGGCACAGATATTTGGTTTATTCACAGGTTTATTTACTTCACTCAAGTGTAAAACGCCTTTTTCCGTAAATCATAATACACGAGTTAACATTTTTTTATACGAAAAAGGCTTATAATTTATTAAAAAAAACAAACAGTTTTTAAACTATGGTTTTTTTTTTAAAAAACTTGTTTTTCTACAGTGGAATAATTCATGCCTATAACTATGGCAAAAATTGTTTTTGAAATGTTTTAAATAATAAATTATCCCAGAGTATTTTTTAAATGTAAAATTGATCGACTATAAAAATGATATAAGTATAAATTACAAAATAAATATTATTTATTTTGTTTTTAATTTAAAAACACTGCATTTTGTACAATTTTAAATTTATACATTTAAGTAATTATAAATCAAACATCATTATAATGTAAAAATTATATACTATTATAATTTATAATAAATTGTGTTGTGTTGTAAAAAGTTAATTAAGCAACGGTAGGTAACCTATTCAAAATTGTAAATGATTATGTTGACTGATTTCATATTTACTTTTCCCGTTACTTTTACTTGTGTTGTATTATTTAACTACACAAGTTTGATATTTAACTACAAATAATGAAAATCACAAGACAGCAGACGTATATAATATTTGTATACTCTTATATTATGGATATCAAAAGATAACATATTTTTTAGAAAATTAAAAATACCTGAGGGGCTGAGAGAAAACAAATATTATACATATTTTAAAATGTAAAAACGTTTGGATTTTGGTAGTTACTATTGTGATATGGTTATAAATTCGTTGTCCCGACGTGCACAGGTGTTTCTTATACCAATATTGGCAATATCACGTTTTGGTTATTCGAGCATATATAATATTATACTACAATATGCAAAATGCAACGTTTTAAATATTTAAAATGCAAAGAATTTTTTTCTTTTTACGTTGCGATTTTTTAATGAAACCCATTGTATATAGGTACCTATATTGCTTATATATGGGAAAGCCACAGGTGCGCGATTAAAAACTATCAATATAGTGCGTGGGTAAATGTAGAAATTGATCGAATCATAAAACCGTAATCTATAGAGATGTTTACACAGTCCTACTGCGAATCGACGAATAAAAACGGATTAGGGTTAATCTATACCCAGGTATGCGTTCAGGCGGTCGCGGTATACCAATAGATTTAAGACTTGATATCACATCGAACACGATATTCAACCGAAATTCGAAGCTCACGACGACTAAAACTTGACGCTTTTTCACATCCATCGCACGCTCGACATTACCGTACCTACATATTATTATAATGGGAAAAACACATAATGTTATAGATATGCGTAACAGAAAAACAGGACGAAATATTGTGAAGACACTAGACAGTAATGGGATAGACGTCGCAGTTCGTTTGATCACTGTGAAGAATTTTTATTATTACAACATAATAATATGACAAAATATATTAAAATATTATGTTCGTTGTTTCGGCAACTCGTAGTGAAATTATTATCGAGTATTATCAAACGGTATAAATTTTATACCGAATGTACGGTACAAATGACTGTAACGGTATAATAATACAATAATATTATGTACATGTATAGCGGCCTATTATATACAACTTTTGGTGAAATACCGAAATGTGGGAGAGTACAAGATCGCGGTCAAAGGATTAAACAAAATTATTAACGTTTCCTGTGGGTGGAAAGTCACCGTAGGAATCACCGAACATGCGCATCCAAGCGGTTAACATAATATTATTATTATAAGAGTCGTTGTTTTAGATAATAATACAATACAATAGGTACGTATAATAGATGATTTATAATAATTATCGGACTACGATTTCGTTACCAAGACGAAAAAAACTATTTAGATTTACGAGTTATGTATTATTATTGTTTTGTGGTGTGCTTCGATACCTAGAAGTTAGAATTGTATAGGTTGGATAAATATTTCATACATAGTGTTTTGGCTTTTAAGTATCGTATTGCCCTAAGTTTGGCGTTTTCGTGATTTTCAAGAGTTAAACGAGCATAACGAACCAAAAGGCTAATTTAGTAAACAGAGATGATTTGTTGCTTTGTGAAAATATTATAACGATTTACGTTGTAACAGTGGAATAAAGAGATGGTTCGATAGGTATATGGATCGGTGGCGCGAGAAACTGACATAGGTTTACTTCTAGTAAAGGGGTAGTAAGTAAATTGCGAGACTGTCAATATAACCTATGATACTTATATAACACTGCTAAATAAATTACCATACATTATCGAACCACGCCACCGTGGGATAACTGAGAACCCATATTATACAAGAACTACGACCAACAACGATTTTAGTTAAACCGATAACCGAATTTAGTTAAACGATTTAGTTCATTGTTCTGATTAAACCTTAAGAGTAGGTGTGGGGTCCGGGTCAGTGGCTTACTAAGGGGGGATAACCACGTCTGTAATTTTTCGGACATGGCATTATTTTTTTCTTAAATCTCAATTTCTAGATTTAAGTCCCATCTTCCGAAATTGTTTTGTTTTTAAACGTATGCCACTGAACATTAAAATATACATGTATATTATAACATACACATACATATATCATATATATAGTATATACTTCCCACATGCAACGCATAAAATATATTTTATGGCTGAATAAATTGTACGATAAAATGTTTTAAATAATTTGAATGAACTAGAGCTTTTGGTACGATGATTTATCCTTGAGATAAATTAGAGCTGTATGAACTGGCATTCACTAAAATATATATTATATGTACCTATACATATATTATACATCGACAATGTACTATATTAAACCTATTATTATTTCTGAAGCATATACATAAACGTAAATTAAGAAAATTGTATTTTGACAAGTAGGTACAAATAAAAAAAATATTTATAATAATAACTAGGTATAACATCGTTAAAGGTATATTTCTGACGATAACCCAATTTTTTTATTCATACCAACTTCCCCTTAAAAAAAAAATTCTCGATTTGCCCAATCCGTAGATTTGACCATAATATTATATTATTACGTGCACTATAATATCGTTTGAACGAATTCACTACGACACCATGTCTTTCTATTATATCGTAATATTCTGATATTATAACACTGCTCGAAATAATAATAATAATACGTATCGTGTGATATTATAACACCAACATGGGCACTTATAGTGTGATAACAAAAATAATATAATATTATTGTGTGATAATATACGTTACCTCTATACGGCGTCGGCGATACGAGTGACCATGCGGCAATCACTACAGCGGATCGAACCGAGACCAACGGACGTACGACCGTACATGAACCATTCGGCAGCACACTGTTTTTTGAAACTCGCGGGTGGGCAGGCGGCGGCGGCACGACACCCGTCGTCGGCGTTGCGCCGGTCCCCTGCACCACCCACGGGTGCATAGTGTAGTTGTTGTCGGCGTGTGGGTCGTCCACCACCCCACCCCGTCCTAAACACTGCACCCCACCCACCCTCGATCGGATAACGATGACGACGACGACGACGGACACGTGTGACAATAATAATAATAAGAATATACTATACTGAGCTACATAACTATGATAATATTGTAAGGGGTGACTACCCCCTCCCCGCCACAAACACCACTGTATCGGTGGCACTCTATAGTGTCGTAATGCATATTATTTTTTTTTTTAGTTTTTGTTTTTTTTTTTGGAATTTTCGTATTTACAGCGGTTAGACCGTCTATCTTGGATTTCCATTTCGATGTTAGCACTAAACCGAAATTCAAACGAGTCATTTTTCTGATATTGAGCTAATAAAGTACTTCACATGAATATTGTCTAGATGAAATATCAAATAAAATATGTAAAATATTTTGATCTATAAAATATTTAAATATATAGAAGTTATGCTAAGTATATAATATAGTAATAATATTATGGTAATAGTTATTAAACTCGGAGATACTTTCTACAATCTATACGCAATGCTTATAAACTAATATTGATTAATGATGGCTATAATTTATACCGAATTTTGATTTAAATTTTAAACACATCAACATATTCGAAAAAACCATGTTTTGGGCAAAATATTACTATAAAAATTGATGCAATCAGGATGTAAACCGGAACTTAGTATTCTTGGTGAATAATACATATTAAATTTAAAGTTGGTTATTACGAATCTCAAATAATTACATAATATATTTTCATAATTCCCAGATTTGGGTTGATAGAAGAGATACAGACCTATTTCCACCCAAGATCGGTTGCGCAGAAGTAGGGGTGGGTTTCCTTGGTGAAAAACAAGTTATCAGTTACACATATTATTATAGTGTAATATTATCGGAACTATGCCTATGATAGTATAATACCATAAAATCGTTTTTAAATTTGAATATACAATTATATTGAAGACTGGGGGATAATAAGTGAAATTTATTTTTAGAATCGTTGTTTTATAAGAAACACACAACATACATTTGTATATTCTCTTAGCACTGTGTTATTTAATACGTATAAATATCGTACATAAAGCCGGGTTCTGAATGTATAGGTATGTAATAATAGACAATTTTTTTTTTTCGTATCTAATATAAGTTTTTTACATATTTTACAAAAGCTTCACGTTTTCTAAGTAAAATAATTGTTTCAAAATCTGAATTTTCCAATATTATATAATTTTTAAATTAATCACGAATATAATATTCCATTAAATACAATTTTTTTTTATATATTTGTTGAGTAATTTTTAATTGTTTTATCCGTCAGTAAATAACACAGAATAAATAATTATTTCTCTATACCTGCAGAATCATAAATAAATATATTTTATATAGGTATTATATGGGTGTTCAAAAATATAATATTTGAACAACAAAATATAAGCGAAATTAATTTTGGTTGAATTATTTATTGTTTGTTATTTTTCAACTTCAGCACTGCAAACCGTGTATCTCTATGTAGGTACCTATAGCAGAATGATTAGAGTCAAATTTTTAGAATCACTTTTCGTTTCCCTTAAGTTGTCTAAATCGATTCCCATAATAATATTGGGGATGGTTTCTTTTAGCTTTGTTAAGTCGTAGTCCGTAATATTCATATTTTTTACATTTTCAATAAAAAATACTTTTACATTTATTTTTGTTAACGCTGGAAACTGTATTTGTGTCTAAGAATTAATAAAAATACTATATACTTAGGTACTTGCAGGTAACATAAACAGTTATGGATATTCCTTAACTTCTTTTTCCAAACCTAATCACTATCGCTTTGTATTGAAATAAGTTTTACAACATAATATGAGTGTTGTTGAAATATAATTTTAGAATTAAAGAAAAAAAACCTTTGTTAATAATAAATTTATTACTAATCTTCAGGGTAAACGTTTTTAGTGGTTTCTATTGTGACAACCATTAATACAATATAATATACAATGGTAACTATATAATATAATTTTCTTTTTGGTATTTTGTCGTCCAACAAATATTATAAGACTTGTAGTATTACTATGTAAGTAATCGAATTTTAAGTCACACTGACACATTGTATAGTTCAAAAAATATATTGCTTTGAATAGTTTGAGACCGAATATCAAGTTCCACCAATAAAATATATAATTTATCTTTTCAAAAAGTTATTCCTGAAACAAAAGACATTTCTCGTCAATAGGATCTGTAAGTTGCCTCGTTCGTGAAAAACAATATTTGTTGGTGTCATTTAGATGTTGCAGACGTAAAATGCACCGCACAAAACAGGAAACTAATATTTCCCTGTAGCCCAACACTCCTTTACTCTTTTTGTATTTATTGAATTGTACTTCGTTTCTGTTTTCTTGCTTAGCCTTGACAATTGTGTTTGGGAAACAGATAAAATGAGTAGGTAATGCAAAACGCATAACAAACATTGTTGTTTGTTATCGAATCAAATTATTAACCTTAAGAATTTTTCGATAAATTAAAAGTTATCAAGAGGGCATAGTTATGTTATCGGTGAGTAGTAATATCCATGGCAATTTTATGAAACTAATAAATCGATATTAAGTTATATTGTTGTTATTACTCGCTTTTTTTAATTAATTTTTTATACAAATGACAAGTTCATTTTCACATGTAACCGTTATATTACCATTATATATATAATATATATTTATTATTTTAAGAGATTAAACAAAACCTTTACTATGATTGTGTATCTTAATTAAACATAATACCTAATGACTTATATTACTCATATCAATTTTATAGTAAAAATAGCGGCTTAGTAAGTATAGCCCCCCCCCCATGTAGACTAGCTCCTTAAGCCCCCTTAAAGTATTCCCTAACTTAACCAAGGAAGTATATTGTAAATTATGTTAATACGTGTTAACTGATATTTCTAGCACCCCTCCCCCGTATATTTATAACCAAATTTACGCCTATGAATATATACAGAATAAAATAATATAGTACCTATTTTATATGGTCCTGGACACATTTACCATATTAATATTGTCTACGCATGAAGTACATGGACATTTCCGGATTAAAATAAAAAACTGTGTTTTCTAAATAAAAAATTGCGTTACAAACAATACGATCGCTCTGCTCACAAATTCAATAGTACTTAACATTTAAACGGAACCCATGCATGCCAAAAACAAAAAAAACATTATCATCCGACAGCTTTTTAAATTTAAAAGATTTATTAAACTTCTATTGTTGTGCAACGTGCGGGGCATGGTACATTCGATAACAATATTACATAGTTCTGTATGACGTGCTAACTGTATGATGCACTTTGTGTCTTTAAAATATTTTTGTTTTGCCGTATGCACTTAACAATATTATATTTTTACGCTCATTATATACATCGCGGCTAAGTACATACCTATGTAATAAAATTGAGTGTCGAGTACATTTTAATTTCATTTGTTTTTAATAATTTAATTGGTTCTAGTGCTGCAAACGTATAGTAATAATAATACTTTGTAAACAAATGCAAAAACGAGTAGACATAACTCAGCTTAAGTATAATAGTACCAACGTTTAATGTGTTTCGCAAGAAAAATATTATAACGACGTGTACTGACTGTCTACAATTATTATAGCCTACTACCTAGGTCTAATATTATCATAGGAATAAAAATAATCATTTGTGCTTTTCCGTGACATATTATTATTATTATGAATATGTTTACATAAATGTTGTGTTTGTATATTGCATGCAATAACTTAATGCATACAAAAAAAAGTATACCTCTATGGCTCTATGCTACAGCTTATGATATTTATGAGGTTCAATAAAAAAATATTTTGCAAACGCACACGATATTAAATTTATTCAATTAGTATTATTCATGTGTGTCTATAAAGTATATATAGGATAATACATATGGGGTTTTTAATCAATAAATTAAAGTTTTAAATTACTGATTTTTCGTTACCTTTAATATATTATTTTTAAATCAAACACTTTATGCACCTATACTTAGATTATTTCTTTTGATAAGTTTAATTATTTAATTAGTATTTATATAATTATATTAGTATTACATAAATCAGAATAATATTTAAAAAAAAAAGGTTTAAATTTAAAATAACTATAAGTTATTAATTCTGAACGTATTAATTTAATTTATATAACACTAGCCTGGATATTAATTTTTAATTGTAAACAATTTTTTACAGACAAAATAATAATGTTATTTGCAATGTAAATCGATAAAAAATATACACATTAGAAACGCTATTATAAATTAAATTTTTTGGTAAATAATTTACTTTTATTTTTTCATTACACACCTAACATCTACAAAATATTTAAACAAAGGTATAATATAGGTGGTTGTTAAATTATGGTGCTAATATTTCAATATGGATAATATAATTAATATTTATAAAACGTATATTATGTATAAATTGAACGGTTATGTTATAACACTCTTGGGAACACTTATTCTAGTTCATTGCAGTAACTGTGATAATAAATTAATAAAAATGGCCAGAAAAATTGCATCTAATGGTTTCATAATATATTAAAATGATCGCATACAATAAATATAGTAATATTCGATCATGTTACATTAAAAATTAATTGATGAATGTGTAACAATAATTCATTGTTTCACTAAACTGCTACAGAGTAATGATTTATAATAATTGTGTTATTCTTCATATTTGCTTAAAAGTCATCAAATTTTATTTATGTTCTATATTATAACACCCAATCGGTATAATACTCATATTTCATAACGTAACATGACATATAATATCCAATATATTATAATAATTATTATTATAAAAACTTAACATAAAAATAAAAACTTCCCCGGATTAAATTAATCCGTTTTCCAAAAATAATATCATATCCGTTAGTCAAGACTCGAGACATACGAGTACTTGAACAAAAATAATTAGTATGACTATAATATTATACTTTATATTTCGATCATTTAA